AAAGTGATATCCAATGAAATGTGACTCCTCGCTTATGTTTGACAGATATAGCTGATAGCATTTGTTCAAGTTAAAAGTAAGTTTGTTTTAAATTAATGCAATGGAATGTAGGCAGATTTTACTTAGATAAATTATCTTGACTCAGATCTCTCTTTTTCCTTTTTGTTTTGGCCCACTGTACCGTCACTGAAAGGTATCACTCTCCACCATTTGGTGAGCCTGTTTTAAATTAATTTCTTACAGCCCCAAATAAAAGAAAATGTCAAGTTTAAAACAATTGTTGTAAGGAGAGAGATGTAGGTCAAGTCTTTAGAGCTACACTGTCCATGACATTAGTAACTAGCCGTATGTGGTGACTGAAATATGGCTAGTCTAACTTGGTATGTGCTGTTAAATATAAAAATGTTAAATTAACTCACTGATAATTTCATATGGATTACATGTTGAAACGATAATATATTGAGTTAAAATGTACTATTAAAATTAATTTTCCCATTTCCTTTCACTTTTTAAAAAAGGTTTTATTTATTTATTGGGAGGGGGAGGCGAGGAGCAGAGGGAGAGGGACAAGCAGACTCCGTGTTAAGTGCAGAGTCCGACGTGGGGCTTGGTCATGACCTGAGCCGAAATCAAGAGTCCCATGCTTAACCACCTGAGCCACCCAGGCACCCCTCTTCTTACTTTTTAACGTGGCTACTAGAAGACTTAAAATTACACATGTGACTTGCGTTATATGTCTATTAGACAGTGCTGCTCTAGAGGATGGTTTTGTTTTGTTTTAAGACTTTATCTACTTATTTGAGAGAGAGAAAAAGCCTGACCAGGGGAGGGGCACAGGGAGGGGCAGACTCCCCACTGAGCAAGGAGCCAATGCGGGCTCAATCCCAGAACCCTGGGATCATGACCTGATCCAAAGGCAGACGCTTAACCTACTGAGCCCCCCAGGTGCCCTAGAGCCTGGTTTTGAAGGAAACCTCCCTGCTGGCTCCACTGGCCTTGAGGCCAGATGGTGCTGCTGAGCCTTGTCCCAGACACTGACTTAGAGCAGTGGTTCTCGAAGTTCGGTCCCCACAACAGCGTCACCCGGGAATTCTTAGGTTCTACCCAAGAGCTACTGAATCAGAAACTCTGAGGGTAAGGCCAGCACTCTGGGTTTGAACGAACCCTTCAGGGACGCTGATGCAGCTGAGGTCTCAGAAGCGCTGGTTAAGAACCACAGGGGAAGAAGCCGAGACTCACCTATGGTAGAACCAGCCTTCATTCACGGGCTTGGGACTGGCAGGTAAACTGAACAGGATGGCGAGGGCTGGCCCAGGGAGGAGGCCGGAACGCACAGGGGTTGAGACACAGGGGGCCTCCGATGGGGAGATGGCAGCTGAAAGCTGCATAAGGAGCTGCTTCCAGAGGGATACAGACATACCACATGTATGACGTCTAAGACACATGCAAAATGACCACCAGGTCTGGATTGTAGCTAAAGATGTCTGGGGTAAAAAGCACCCACAGGGGAGAAGCATACACATGCAGCATGTGTGACAGCATGCACAGGGAAGGGTAAAGAACTCATTTAGGATGGCGGCCCTGGGGGTTTGAGAGGAGAGGGCCTATTTCTGCATTTAGTTAAGGCTTCCTGCTACCCCCTTGACAGTACTGATACCTTCTCTCACATTATGTGCCAGCACATTTCCTATGCTAACTTACACGAGGGTTATTTTTTTTAATCGAGGTGAAATTCCCTCTAAATTAACCATTTAAAAGCGAGCACTTCAAAGACATTCACAATTTTGTGACACCGTGGCCTCTTTCATTCCAAAACGTTTCCATGGGCCCCAAACTCTGTACCCATAAAATAGCCGCTCCCCATTTGCCCCTCCCCCAGCCCCAGGGCAGCCGCCGGTCTGTTTTCCATCTCCATGAATTTACAAACATTTCGTAGAAAGGAAGTCACACGATATGTGACCTTTGAGTCTGACTTCTTTCACTTGGCATCACGTTTTCAAGACGCCTCCATGTCATACCAGGCACCAGAACACTCTTTTTTATGACCAAATCATGTTTTATTGTATGTCTATGCGGCAATTTGTTGATTCCCGGCTGCGGTGAACAGTGCCTATGAACAGTCCTGCTCAAGTATTTGTGCATTATTCATACATGTGTGTATTGACCCCTCCCCACCTCCCCACTCCCCCGCCACAGTGAACTTCCAAATGATTGGGACCTTAAAAGCTTTTATCTTTTTCCCCCCCAGAACCCTAGGCCCTGAGTTTTTCACTTAGTCGTTACTCCACCACTGCCTGTTAAAGTAAACTGAACACTTTTCCTTTTAACCGTTGTTGTTTTAAAATGGATTCGCACGTGTTCCTTATGACTAGACCCAGGGGGTGACACAGAGACACAGACGCCTGGTCATTAGCACCTAAACGGAGAGGACAGGTCAACAGTATTCGGCACGGTGTGATTCGAGGGCCTTCAAAGTGGTTCCAGTTTGTTGGTGTTTTTGCGGTGCTAGCTGCGGTAGACTGTTGCTTTAAGACCCAAGGGAGGGGGACCTGTGTCCTGCTGCCCCACTTTGGTCCTCTTCCGGCCAAGCCCCCGGCCACGCCCCTCCCTACTGGACCAGAAGCCCAGTCCCCGGGGAACAGGGACAGGGGTGTGTCCCTGCTCGCCCACGCTCCAGGGCCCTGCCCCCGCCCCACACCCCTGGCCTATGTGCTCCTCTTGGAGCTGTCCTTGAGAGGGCTGACTGCACGGGGCGGGGCGTGTGTGCTCCCAGGCCTAAGGGGAAGGGGGTCGTGTGCCTGAAACAGGGGATGGGGTGTGGTCTAGGAAGAGGGGGTGGGGGCAGCTCTTCCTATATGGTGGGAGCAGGATGTAGAGGAGTCTGAGAATTCTAAATCCTTTCAGGTCATTATGGAGGTACTTATGTCGTGGAAGGGAGATAAATCATTCAATAAAACGTGCTGATTTCAACATTTCAAATACATAAATACATGGTATGTGGGTCCCCAGCTGAGCTCTTTTTCTGACCGTTGCAGATGTTACAAATGTTCAGAAAGTCCAGGTTAAATATCTAGTCCATCACCCCTTTCCCCCTCTTGGCTCCGGGGCCGGGGGGTGGGGGGCCCTGCTTCTGAAAGTACTTGTTATAATAGCCCATCTTGCTAGAAGACTTGGATCTCGTCCCTAGCCCAGGCTGGAGAACAACCACCAACCACCACCCACCCCTAACCACCCCACACACCCCTCCAACTGCAGTACCCTCTCTTCCCACTGGTCCCTTTCTTTGTTCTCCAGGTGTTTATACACCACACTTCTCTAATACCCCTTTTTACCCACCCAAACACCCACCTGCTGGCCATCAGCTTGGCCAGGTGCCCCTGTGTGGAGGCCCTTGGTCCTCCGCACAATCTCTCTTTTTTAAATTATCTTTTTTATTATTATGTTCAATTAGCCAGCATATAGTACACCATTAGTTTTTGATGTAGTGTTCAATGATTCATTAGTTGTGTAGGATGCCCGGAGCTTGGCACCACATGTGCCCTCCTTAATGCTCATCTCCCCCCTCACCCCCGCCAGCCCGTTACCCCATCCCCTCCCCCCACCTTTCTGAAACCCTCAGTTTGTTTCCCCACCCCCGCCCCCGGAGTCCTGAGTCTCTCATGGTTTGTCTCCCTCTCTAATCTCTTCCCATTGAGTTTTCGCTTCCTTCCCTTACAGTCCTCTGTGCTGTTCCTCATGTTCCACGCATGAGTGAGACCCTATGATAGTTTTCTCTGCTTGACATACGTCACTTAGCATAATCCCTTCCAGGTCCACCCATGTCGATAAAAAGAGTGGGCATTCATCTCCTAACATTTTGCTTCTCAGACAACCCTCAGATCTGACTTATCCGTATCTTATTCGCTTCCCTCCCCACGTGACCAAGACAGACTGCAGAACAAGCTTTATTGAATTTATTTGCGTTGCGTATATACAGTGAAAACCACAAATGCTAAAAGAAGCTGAAAACTTGTTCAGAATGCGCATCCAGGCATTAAAAAAAACTTAACAAAACTCTGTTTTTAAGTAAGGAGGTTAACTGTGGAAAAGAAATTATTAATGGATAGCTCTCAGAGTGAGAAAAAAAAACTAATAGTGGTCTACTCTAAAAAAAGGGGGTAGGGACTAATTACCAGGGTCACTTGACTAAAGGGCGTCTACCTAAATAAACTGTTCACTATGGAAGTAGAAAGGAAATCAAACTCAGTCATTCCAAAACCTAACATTATCAGAATGGCAAAGATACAGTATCAGGAAAAAGAGATGTTTTATCAAGAAAATGCAAAAGCCAGCATATGACTCTATTATATAATGTCATAATGTCACGTTATACCATCATCATCAAAACCAAGCTCCAAGGATTTAAATTCGCTCTGGCACCTCACTGCTTCTATGATTTTTTTTTCTTATAGAAGGCAGCACCCCACTCAGAATTTAAAGGCACGGTTAGGTGGCAGACACAGTGAGAGGTATAGCGAGAAGAAACTTCTGGGTCTCCTAAGAAAATGAGCTAGGGCCTGTCCAGGCATCCAAGGGGAGCACTCCCTTAGTGTTTGGTGTGTTTGGGAGATGGAATAGAGGGAAAGGACTTGGGGGACTGTCTCATTGGGGATAAGGTGTGTGGGGACCTATCCAGTCTAGTGACTTCTGAGGTGTGTGCCTTCAGGAATGAGGGGAAGGAGAAGCTTATCTGATTTCATCACCTAAGGCTTCCAGTTTGCAGGAAGTTAATTGTTCTCAGGCTTTGGGGTTGCAATCTGGCTTTGGGATAAAATCTTGTGAAACAGAAGCTGCTGAGGAGGAGAGACTAGAAACTGGGCTACGGGAAGGTGTCTACCTTAAAGCTGGCATCAGAGAAAAGAGCTCTCCAGGAACCCCGGGGTCTTAAGTGCTTAAAAAACAGCATATATACAGCATTCGGTATATTTCTCAGCAACTAGAGAGTCCCAGTGGCCTTGGGATAAGAAGTCAAATACTGATGAGCTAACCATCTAGGGGAGCACGAGAATCGTCAAGAAATGTTCTGCCTTCTAGGGAGGTGCTCACTGCTGCGAAACTGGCAATGTGGGGCTTGTGCAAAGAGAGAACGTTCTAGAAGTTGCAGGGATTCGAGGGGGCTGTGCAGGTATACAAGGGTGGTGTCTCAAAGGGCAATGGCTAACTGGGGGACTGTCTGTGCAAAATTTTTCTCAGAGACCCAGAATTTTCCGTCCCACCACTTCTTCTCAGGGCCTTTGTGAAGCTTGGAGCAGCAACCAAAGAACTGAAGCATTTAGCCAGGCTCCTGAAACCTGAAGGCCAGTCCTTGGGCCAGATCATCTGGCCATTTCCATCCGAGGGAATTTATTTGATCAAGGGAAATGACCACCACCTTTCAGTCGCTCTCACAAAATGTTTTTTGCTTCCTCTCTTCTAAAGCTCGTGGTCCAGAGTAAATCATGTCACATTGCTTTTGTAGAGGAAAGGCTGGGTTTTCAGATGTTGGCAGTGACTGTACTGAGTGAGGGTTAGGCTTTCACGGCATTTCTTATGTTAAAATACTTACTGGCTTTAATTGTACTTTTAAGGTGCTTTTGCTTAATAGAAAGTGGTTATAGGAAATAAATCACTATATAGCGTTAATGCGACTATTGGCAACAATTCCTCCCACCGGGAGCTGTTTACTGCATGATTTCCGATATATGGGTCCAAGCTTTGGCTTTCTCCTTGGCCAGGGAGAACCAGACTGGCTCTTCCGGCTCTGCTGGCGCCTGGACCGCAGCTGGGAGAATGGAAGACCGCCTGGTTTCTTTGGCCATGGCAGGCATTTGAGCTATCTTCTGATCTTTGAATCCTGCAAGAACCACAACGAGTGACACACAAGCGGTAGGAAGCTCCAGAGACAATGGGGGAAGTGTATGGGATACAGTAAAAGTTCTCCTCCTTTCAGGTTTCCTTGGGCTTCTAACAGTCCCGTGCATGTGGCCTGCTACGTGTGGTCTCTCGAAGGGATAAGATCTACCCGGCTCCGGCCATGGGGGCCTGGGCATGGGAAGGCCCAAGAGAAAATACCAGCCAAGCTTTGGGTGGTTATTACTGGACTGGCTCACACTTATAAATCAAGACCAGAGAGGAAACATAAAATATGTCATCTATTCAGTTTTTTACATTTCAGATCAGGTCATGTTATCTCTGTTTTGCTGATCCTTGTTGTGTGAAATGACTAGTAAGGACTCAGTAGATCCACCCAGTATAAGTCTGTGCTAACGAACACTGTACCAACTACTGTGGCCGAACAGAAGACCTCCCAGTCCCCTGCTTCTACTCCTTCCTTCATCCTGCTTTACAACTGACTGACTCAGTGACTTTGACTCAACCCTGGGGGGGACGCATTAGAATCGCCTAGGGCTCTCTCTCTCTCTCTTTTTAAGCAATCAGACATTTATTTGGTCAATTAGAATTGCAGTTCAGGATACATAGATTTGGGTAAAAGCCTGACTGCTGCTTTACAACTAGAGCTCTTTTTTTTTTTTTGAGAATTTATTTATCATTTTGATAGAGCACGAGCAGGGGGAGCAGCAGGCGGAGGGAAAGGGAGAAGCAGACTCCCTGCTGAGCAGGGAGCCTGCCGTGTGGCTTGATCCCTGGGATCAAGACCTGAGCTGAAGGCAGATGCCCAACTGATGGAACCACCCAGGCGCCCCAGCTAGAGCTTTTATTTCAAACTACCAATGCCCGGGGGTGCCTGGGTGGCTCAGTTGGTTAAGCATCTGACTCTCGATTTCAGCTCAGGTCCTAATCTTGGGGTCTTGCAATCAAGCCCTGCATCAGGCTCCAGACGTAGAGCCTGCTTAAGATTCTCTCTCTCTCTCTCTCTCTCTCTCTCCCTGTGCCCTTCCCTTCCATCCGCAAAATAAATAAACAAATCCTTTAAAAATATAAAAATAAATAAAAACACCAATGCCCACACCATTTCCTGAACTACAAGAATTAGAATCTTTCGCAATGGCGCCAGGGCCATCTGTAATTTTGTAAATGCTTTAAAAGCTCAGCAGGCGATTCAAATGCACAGTTGAGAACCACCTGACAGGAGCAGAGGGCCCGTGAGGTTGTTAACAGCTATCAGCAGGCCAGGTGCCATGATTTCATGGCCAGATCACGGCTTCCTAAGTTCCTGGTCTAATTTCTTTATGAAGGGGATCAAGGCAGAGGACAAAAATGATTCCGTACAAATCTACCCTCCCCTCCCCCTGCTCCTGCTGTAAAGAAAATCCCCCTGGCACACACCTGTACTGCTGAGACCACATTCTATTCTATCCCAGCCCTGTGTTCGCTTGGCTTTCAACATCTCCCCGCCTCCCATGCCCTGCTTAGAAGGTGGAGAAGCAGGCCTCTGAAATAGTGAAAAGGAGCAATTCGACACCACTGGGCCCATATAGTAGATTATTTTACAGTGTCCCTGGGGCTGTGGAAGGTGAGAAAGTACTGCTTTGCTAAGAGCTGGAAAGGAGCTTGGTGTTTTCCTCTGGAATCACAGCCATGGGAACATTTTAGTGAGTGATCACAACTCTGTGTCTATTCCAGCTTCCTTGACGAGGCAGAGGACTGGGAGACCCTGGGAAAGTCACACAGTGGACCCAGAGTGGTCCTCACAATTGGATTTTCCTGAAACAAGCTAATATCTGTACCTAATGGAAGAGCCATGTGAATTACGAGGCTGATTTGGGGCGGAGGAGGGGTTGGGGAAAGACATATTTTGTCTGAAGTGGAAATTGCAGAAGTTTCCCAATATGCTGCCAGGACTTTCTTTGGAGGGGGGTTGTTTTTACCTGCTTTGGTAAACTTAGGTAGCTTCTTCTCTGCCGGCTTCTCCAGTTTATTGACATCGGAAGCAAAAGTCTTTCTGGATTGGTTTTCAGTTGCAAGGCCAGCTCCCTTTAATACAACAATGAAAACAAAAACTTGTTAAGGCCTGACATGGAGGAGTGATTGGTTATTCAGAAAACCACAAGCAGCAAGCCCTGTCCTATTATGAGCTCCACATTAGGCAAAAGGAAAGAGAGCAAAGGAAGGAAATAGCACTGAGAGGACCTCGGTTCAGAATTTAGGTTCACAAAACCTCAGCTGGTTCAAGTTTACCACCTCTGAGATCTGGAAGAAAAGGTTGTCTAATCATACAAATAGTGTAAACAGGTTAATGTAATTATCTAACTTGAAAACAACCTTCTCCCTAGCACATTACCAACACTTAACAGCACGCTAACAGAGTGTGGGGATTACGAACAAATGTTATCAAGGAATTGAAGTGAGTTCCGCAGGATCTCGCTTAGCAAAACTGTTGACCTCTGACTTGCCCTCCGTGTACCAGAAAGAGACATAGCTACGGGTCTTTCCAGAATTGTACAGTTTAAGCTTTTCAAATGCACCTTGCCACAACTGGTCTAAATTACTGAGTCTAGGTACCCTAGTGCATTTCTCCCGATGAAAACTTTAACCAAGGCATGCTTTGCCCCTGTATGTCCTACTCCCATAAAAATACTAATGATGAAAATGAAAAAAAATCTTTCGAGGAGAGTTAAACAGATCCTAATGTGATCCCTTGACAGAATGAGCAGTTAAAAGTACAGGAACTTAGACATATCTCTTGGTATGTAAATGTTATATGTTTTCTTAGGTCAGGGTTCTGCGATTTTGACAAGAGGGGCTCTCATTCCAGCACCTCCAAAGACATGGTAAATGGGATGTTGAAAGCTAGACACCATCCCGTCATCCCTGATCCACAGGTGGGGACCATTAATCTAGTTCATCACGTAACTCTGCTTCTCGCCTGTAGGGATGGGCCTCACTAAAGAGAACCAATAGTCAAAGCCCCAGATATCAAGCGTTACTTTTATAAAGTCAATCATTCTGGATGATATGGAAAGGTGCCCAGAAATGAAATGTCAAATGAAAAATAGTATGTATGGTTCGATCACATTTATATCTTCTTCAATACACACATATTCGTAGGCATAAAATGCCTATAGGGATAATTATTCAATTCTCCCCCCAGTGGTTACCTTTGGGTTTTTTTTTTCTGTAACATTCCTCATTGCTCAACTGATTTCATGGAATCCTGCTCTGGAATAATAATCAGGACAGGGTTTGATGTACGGAAACTTCTCATAGTCATTACATTTCACAAACCCTTTCAGAGCATAAATTGGACACGTTATTGTCTGAGTACCAAGCAAGACTCTTCCCCACAAAGAAGCCCGCGCCTTGATTAGTGCACCCAGAAAGGTGGGGAGCTGTGGGCTCGGCAAAGTTTCCAATGCAAGCTTAGTCAACCAACTCTAGTAACCTTCTGGAGTGTTCTGTGGGTTGCCGCAAGTTCTCCCCCATGTCTAGGCTCTTTGGCCTCGGGCTTGGCTCCAGCTTTGTTCTTGGTTTTTGTCTCTTTCTTGGGAATTTGGACCTGGGAACTCTTCTGCTTCTGCTTTACCATGGTTATCCAAGCTGGCTCTGAGGCTGTACAATCTGAGTGTTGGCCAAGAGCCTTCCCTGAGAAAGGAAGGAGAGCAGTTAGAACAGAAGTGAGGCAGGCAGGGTCTCGAGCTGGGCTAGAGCCCACCCACACTAATGTACAGATGGGATCCTTGTTAATTGCCAGATGAAAATGAACAGAGATTCCATCGAAAAGGGTCCCCTTCTTTGGTGTCATCCCCACAACCTGGCAAGGCAGGAGCTCCTCGCATAGATCAGTTTGCATACTATCCTCTGATGGTCCCTCGCCCTTCCTTGTCCATCCCTCTTCCCATCCCCAGATCAGGGCAGGACAGGGGTGGCCGAGTGGGCTGGGAAAACTGCCAGGAGGCCAGAGGTTCAGGCTATCGATATCATTCCTTGAAGTCCAAGGAGTATCTTATGATATTTGACACTACATATTCCCTTATGCAATCATGTGATTACATGGGTGTGGTTCTAGGTGTGAAGACCATGGGATGGTCCGTGTGAAGGTACAAAGGCTTTGAGAGAGATTAGTGCTCAAAAGATCACCTAGCTCTGGATTCTTAGGCATTTCAGGTGTGGGAAGCAGCTGTGGAAGTAAATTAAGATTTCAAGCTGAGAGTCTGAACGGAGTGTTCTACTAATGAGTTGGCTTTTAAAAAACACATGGTGTTGTGGGGGGAGCATAATACGTGTCTAAGTATTTTGGGAAAGATATAATATTCTATCGAAAGGGAAGGTGCCCAGAAGGAATAGGCAGATGGTGGTGTGTCCATCACAGAATGTGGATGGATGGATGCCCCCGGGAAAGGGAAGACTCAAAATTACCCATCCCCAAATCCATCAAGCCACAAGCCAGCCCTATCAAAATGACAGCTCAGCAGGCAAGGCTTTGATCTCTACTTGGTACCTCCAGAGGTCCTCCAGAGAGAGAAAGTCTCACCTGGGACCTTGTAAATGGGTTGCTTCTTGGCCATGCTTTCGGATTGGGGCCTGGTCTGTTGCTTCTCTGCAAGGTCAGATGCTGTGCTGGGGTTCTCTGCAGTGCCCTGGAGCCCCGGTGAAAAGCTTCTTTTGATTTGCTGTTCTGTGGAAGATGAAATCAGGCCCAAGGCGAGTGAAGAAAACTTTAAAAGATCATCTTGTTTCTCACTCTTGTACTTCTTCAAGGAAGGGACTTTTCTCAGGCGAACTCCAAAAATGGTTTCAACACCAATTTCACCGGTGGATTCATCTGGATGGCTGTTATTTCGATCACTGCTCTTGAGACCTTCTCCCTTGGAGTAAGTGCCCCCCACAGTGGAGGCCTGCCTGGTAGAAGCCATAGTGAGCTTCATGGGTTTGGGATCTGGAAGCAGGGTATTCTTAGGGAGGTCTTCAGAGACTTGTCGAAATTTCCTGGTCTTGTTTGGAGAAGCTGGGCCTCTTGAGAGGGACCAGATTCCAGGATGGCTCTCAGAGGTGGCGCCCGCAGCGGCGGCACTCACGGAACCCGGATGGACTTGTGGCAGGTACTCGGGCTCTGTCAACACCTGGCAAGGGTATCTGCAATGGTGAGGCTGGTGCTCCTCAGACCTGTTCCAATCTCCAGGGACGCTCGCTGGACCTGCCAAGAAAAGCCGTGGCTGTAATTCAGCCTCCTCCTTGGCTTGGTGAGGGCCTCTGGAAGGCAGTGGCTCTTCAGAACTCTTCTGTATTTCAGGAGAGCTCTGAGAGGCTGAGGAGACTTGCTGGTACTTGAGCTTGGCCGGTGCCATGAAAAGGTGTCTGGAGGGCACCTGCTCCTTGGAACTGCTCTGCTTCGGCTTGGTGGAGGCACTTTCTGAACATGGGATAACTTCCCTGGGGCCTTCCGGCCTCCCCAAGGGCTGTAAGGGGTGTGCCAGGGGCAGCAGCTTGGAAGAGATGGCTCCTTCGGTACTGGCATTCTCTGGGCCCAAGAAAACTGGGTACTGGACTTTAGACCTCAACAGAGATTTGGAAAGTTGATTTGTAGATAGAGAATTAGCAGCACTCTCCGAAAACACTTTTTCTGCCATAAACTTCACAAACGACTGGGAAGGATGCCTGGACACTGGTGGTTTCTTGGCAGATCTTTCAGCAACGGTATTCTCTATACGTGAGGACATCTCCTGAACCTTAGACCTTGATGAGAACTGGGTAGGATATTTGGAAGCCACTGGCTTCGCATACATGGTTGTCTGGGTGGCAACACTCTCAAAATTGTATGATATTTGCTGGACTCTGTATCTTCCAGGGGACTGGGAAGTCTTCTTGGAAGGCCAAGGCTCTGTAGAAGCAACCCTCTCGGTGGCAAACTTTTCTGGAGCCGCGGAGACTTGTTGCCTGACCACTGCTTTGGTCAGGGCCTGAGAAGCCATTCTGGAAGAGAGCTGATCTGTGGAAACACTCCTCTGGGTCAGGGAGCCATCTGGAACCAGGAAGGCTGGTTGTTTGACCACTGCTTTGGTCAGGGCCTGAGAATGCATTCTGGGAGACAGCTGATCTGAGGAAATGCTCCTCTGGGCCACAGAGCCCTCTGGAGCCAGGAAGGCTGGTTGTTTGGCCACTGCTTTGGTCGGGGCCTGAGAAGCTATTCTGGAAGAGAGCTGATCTATGGAACCTCTCCTCTGGGTCAGGGAGCCGTCTGGAACCAGGAAGGCTGTTTGCTTGACCACTGCTTTGGTCAGGGCCTGCGAAGCCATTCTGGGAGGGGGCTGCTCTGTAGAAACGCTCTTCTGGGCCATTGAGCCTTCTGGAGCCAGGAAGGCTGCTTGCTTGACCACTGCTTTGGTCTTAGAAGACCTTCTGAGAGAGTGCTGCTCCATAGCAATTCTCCTCAGGGCCTCCGCGCCCTCTAGAGCCTCTGAGACAGGTTGCTTGACTTTTGTGCTGCCCCGGGACCTGACAGAGCATCTGGGAAGCTTTGGCTCGGCAGGGGCACTGCGTCGTTCTGGAGGCGGGCTCCGCTGCCCTGGAGGCCCGCCCTGTTGTTCGGGAAGCACGCTCTGTTGTTCTGGAGGCGTGCTCCGTTCCGGGGGGGCGCTCGCTGATCGCTGGGAGTCGGCTCGCTTCACTGCCCGCCTCCTGGGGTTCTGAGAAGTCTTTCTGGGAGGCAGTGGAGGCAGGGGAGCTCGTGGCTCCAGAGAAATGCCCCACTCCAGAGCAGCGCTCTCTTCGCGCTCGGAGTCCTGCTGCTCGAATGAGGAGCTCAACCAGGACCAGTAGACGGTTCTGGGAGATGCCCGGCCCGGCACCAGGGCAGCACCCGGGGCAAGGCCCAGGCTGGGCTGGCAGCACCCTGCGGCGGAGGCGCCCACCGGCTCTGGTGGGGCGGGCTGTGGCGGGACTTTGGGCCACACGGCGGGCTGCGAGGGGTCTCTGGGTGGCAGCTCCACGGATGCGCCCTCGGTGCCGCTGCCATCAGCCTCTGACGCTTGCGCGCCTCTCGCATTGGTCAAGGCCTGAGCAGAGTATGTGGGGAGCAGCGGCTCCATCGAAATGACCTTCTCGGCGGCGGAGGCGGTGGCCTCCAGACCTGAGAACACACTGGGCTCCGCTATGGGGTTCATGGAGGCCTGGGCAAGGCCTTGCGGAGGCCAAGGCTCCGCAGGAGCTGCCGGCATTTCTGGACCGTCGGGGGCCTGTTGTGGGACCAGAGGTCGCGTCAGGGACTGAGAGTCGTGTCTGGGGAGCGGCGGCGGCTGCACCGAGGCGTTCTGATCGACCCCAGCACTTTCTGCTCCCAGGCACACCTGGTGCTCCACGACTGGCCTCAGGACCGTCTGGCAGGGACGTCGGGGAGGTGGCAGCTCCACGCAAATGCTCCCCTCGACAGCCGGGACCCGCACAGGCTCCTGGATCGCTTGCTCCGTGATGGGTTCCAGCAGCGGGTGGGAATGCGGCCTCGGAGGCAGGGGCGGCAGCAGCTCCGCGGAAGAGAGCCCGACAGCGGTACAAATTTCTGGACTTTCGGAGACTGGTTGCTCCACCCAAGGCTTCCCGAGGCGCTTGGAACAGATTCTGGGAGGCAGTGGCTCCGGAGGAATGTCCCACTGTGCAGCTGCGCTGTCGGGGCCTGCGGAGGTCTGTGGCTCTGCCTGAGGGCTCAGCCGGGGCTGGACCGGCTGCCGGGGCTGCGCGGGCTCCACAGGGCTGCTGCTGGGGGCGGGAGGCCTCGCCGAACCCTTGGACATTTGCTGCGGAAGGACCGGCTTCAAGAAGGACAGAGCCAGCCGCTCCACGGACACACCCCACTCCGCCGGGAGGATCTGGGAAACTGAGGCCACCTGTTGCTGGTCTGCGGGCTTCGCCGAGGCCTGGGAAGGGGGTCCAGGAGGCCCATCTTCGTCCGCGCTGCTCCACTCTTCAGCGCTGTCGTACTTCTCCATGTAGCCATCGGATTCTGTGGACATTTGGTCTTCAGCCTCCCCCAAAGCCTGGGCAGCTGAGGTGGGAGTCAGCAGCTCATCAGAACTGCTCGAGTTGCTGGAACTTTCTGAGTCTGAGGCTTCTTGGTCATCGTCAGGCTCCTCCAAGGGCTGGAAGGGGTGGCTGGGAGCTCGCTGCGGCTCGGACCCGCTCTCCTCCTCCTCCGACGCGCTCTCTGGATCCGAGGATGCTTCCTCGGCTTCGGCGTTCCCGAAGGCCCCCGCCAAGTATCTGGCGGCCCGCTGCCGCTCGGGGCTGCTCAGCTCCATAGCCGAACTCTCGTATCCTGTGAAGACGTCTTGGTCGTCGTGAGGCTTCCCTGAGGACTGGAGAGAACGCTGGGGGGGCAGCTGCTGCTTGGACCCGCTCTCCTCCTCTGACGGGCTTTCGGGATCCGAGGACCTGTCTCCGGCTCTGGGCTTTCTCAAGACCCAGGAAAGGCTTCTGGGAGTCAGCCTCTCGGCAGAAATGCCTCCCTCGGCCCGAGCGCTGGCCGGGCCTGAAATGCTTGCTGTGAAGGCCCGGAGAATGTTTGCGGGTGACCTTTCTCTGCAGACGGCTGGAATATCTTGAACCGACTCCATCTTCAACTTGAGAGCTTGCAGATCAAAGCTGAAAGCCTCCTCCCCTTCTGACTGGAGGTGGGAGGGATCCATAAACACTTGCGCCTCCATAGCCACCGAGAAGATGACATCCTCCGGGGTTGTAGAAAGGCTTTCCGTCCCCGATGAAAGAGGAGCTCTGGCTTCTGGCCACTCGGCTCCGGAGGCCCCGTCCTCCCGGCCTGGCGATGGACCCCAAACCACAGACTCTGCCTGGGCTTTGGGTACAAACTGGGACACTGGGGCTTTTCTGGTGTTCAAATCGACACCAGCCTTTTTCTTTCTCTTGCCATCTCCATTTGGAAGCGGCTCCTGGGGAGGAGTACGTTGGGCCTGCTGAGTCGCGGGCTGCTCCATGACTTGTCGCTCCAGAGACAGGTTCCGGAGACGGCAGTCCCTGGCATTCTTCTTGGTGGGTGGGGACCCAGCCCTCTCACTGGGGACAAGCCCTCCACTGGATGGTTTAAACCTTCTTCCTCGGGGTGCACACTCAGTTGATCCTGAAGCACTCGATCCTTGTTTGCTGCGAAGTCTCCCTTGTGCTGCTGACTCCCGGCTCTCACCCCAGGCCACGCCGGCCCATGCAGCCTTGTCCACTGGCTTCTTATCCTGCATTTCGGTTCTCTTGCTGCGTTTCAGGCTTGAGACACCTGTACCCAATAGAAATAAGGGAAAGAAAAATATGCATGCCTGGGACGTCCTAAAATCGGAGGATTCAGCCCCCGCCCTGTGGGTACCTAGTCACTACCGAATCTCTTGGTATAAAGAAGCTTCTAGGCAGAACAGGGTCAGGGACTTGGCTGCTATTAGCCTCTGCAGTTGGAAATGTTTACATCAAAGCGAAATCCCAATTTTATGAACGGATTACGAGGTCATCTCATCAACTGCCAATCAAAGGTCTGGGCCACCGTTAGGTGTGAAACACGATTTTTGAACCCAAGGACACCGAATGGGTTCTATCCTCTGGGTGTAAAAAGGATAATTATTAAAAATAAGTAAGAGAAAAAGATGAAAAAGAAAGTAAATTTAACTTTTACTTCCATTTCTTCTCTGTATGTGTGTGTGTATGTTTCAGGACAGTTTGGTGGTTTTGTTAGTTTTCATGGAAAAACAAATTTAGGGATATCCCCCCCCCTTTTTTTTTGAACCCAAGTGTAAAATCCTTTGTAGCAAAAAATAGGAAAGAACTCTTCAACTTGTGGAATTCCAATTGTGGAATTGGAATTTTGTTTTATCAAGTATCACCTGAAATTAGGTTGTTGTCAGCGGGAACCACTATCCCTACACAGACACACACACACAAACACACAGACACACACACACACAGATTTTTTGCTACAGTGCTTTGTGTGGCTTGGGGGATTTAGCAGGTGTTTGCTGCCAAGGACATCTGTCTACAGCTGCCAGAACCCTCTTTGCCTATGGATAGGGGAACTGGTCTCACTCTTCACAAAACCTTTTTCTCTCTACTGGAAGAGAATAGCAATCTTAAAAAAAAACTAGTTTTGAGGGGCACCTGGGTGGCTCAGTGGGTTAAGCCTCTGCCTTCAGGTCAGGTCATGATCTCAAGGTCCTGGGATCAAGCCCCGCATTGGGCTCTCTGCTCGGAGGGGAGCCTGCTTCCCCCTCTCTCTCTGCCTGCGTCTCTGCTTCTCTGCCTACTTGTGATCTCTGCCAAATAAATAAATAAAATCTTTTTTAAAAAAACTAGTTTTGAGCTAATTCTGTTATTAGTCTCTGGTTCTGGAGCTCAAGGGTTATGGAAGGGGGGAAGATCACTGGTTGCTTCAGATATACCTTAGCCTTAGAGAGGATTAGGCAAGCTTACAAACAAATAAGCAAGCACAGCACATCTCTTTGGTTGCAAATTCGTTTAGATAAAAGAGTGATCCAGGCATCATCTTTTACCTTAATCCCACACCAGTGGCAAGGGTAAGAGTCGGGCAGTTTAGCTGGAGGAACCCAGACCCCCTTTGACATGCATCTTAAACCAAAAGCGCTCTAAGGGCCAGGGACAGACAGCAGCCTAGTAAATCTCATTCCACAGAGCCTGTCACGGAGCGTGCCCAATACACCTTTCTGAATGAGGGTAAGTGTGCGCTAACCTGCACCGTCTCTTCTCGGTTTCCATTTGTCCGCTTCTCTTGGCTTGGTTGTACTCTTCTCTTCTCCAGAAGCCACTAGAAGGATGGGCTCCTCTTGCTTTGCTTTCCCCTGAAAGAGGGAAAGAGCTTCAGACGGAAGTGCTTCCCACCCACCCCTGCGTGGCTGCCGAGGAGGTTGACCTCAGGAAAAGAAGTCCTTGATCTCCAAAGGGCTCTGCTGGGAACACAACCACACCGTTAACCACAGAAATGATTTCCAGTGGCATCCATCCCCTTGCCGATCATGTTACCTACTGGAAGTGATTTTACCCATTGGGAGTGATTTGCCCAGAATGGAAGCTTCTGATCTCTGAGGGGTTGGCAGAAACAGCCCAAAATCTGCTGAACCACACAACAAGCCCGACGGCAGTCCTACTGGTGGCAACACCGGAATTCCCACATTCGTTTCGGCGGATCTGGGAGCCAAACTCAAAACCCATTTGGCTTCTTTTCAGGGAATTTAGTGAAAGCATGAAGTATGTCTCTCCAGCTCCAGAGAAGGAAGAGGGCTGGGGTTTCGCTGGGAAAGGAGAGAGAAAATGACGAAGGGTTCAGCCCTTCCGCTGAGAGGGTTGAAGTTGGTTTCATATAAACAAGGTTTACGGATGATTATGGGGCAGCTTTGGAAATGTCAGAGCAAAGCTGCCCTGGACAGCGTCCGGACGCTGCTACGTGTAAGCCTCTGTGACGTGCCTCTGAAGACTAACGTCCTACGCCTTCTGCTCGCACTCATGGTGCCTGTGCAGACTCACTCAGCACGGAGGGATTCATTCTTGAGTGAATGAGGTGAGGCAGCCCTGGGTTCCAATCTCTGCTCCTGTGTTCACTCACCACGTGAGCTTGGCCGGGTTGTTCGCTAAATCTCTATGCCCACACCTGAAAATTAGGGGTGGGGGGAACCTGAGAAACTCTAAATCAAGGAGCAAATGACAGTGGCCTTCGTGTCAAACATGGTCCTAGACCCTTTTACATTCAGCCATGTCTTGGGGGAGTCACGTGGAAGATGTCCTGACCTTCTGAGAGAGGGATGCCCAGGCCTTTTCTTCTTCTTCTTTTTCAAAAAAGATTATTATTTATTCATTTGAGACAGAGAGAGATATGTATAGAGAGAAAGAATGAGCAGGGGGAGGGACAAAGGGAGACAGAGAAGCAGACTCCCCGCTGAGCAGGGAGCCCGATGCAGGGCTCGATCCGGGGACCCTGAGATCATGATCTGAGCCGAAAGCAGACGCTTCATGGACTGAGCCACCCAGGTGGTCTGCCCGGACCTTTTTTTGATTAGGCTATGTAGAAGAAGAGAGTCAGAGGCTCATACTACCTTTCCTTTAGCCAACATTTGCCATCTCCCCGGTTTGTGGTGAGGCCTCCGGGTGAAAACGCATATATAGGGTTTAGTGTTTAGTAATGGGCCACCTTCTGCTTGACAACCGACCAAGGAGATCCTCTCGGAGCCACCAGAGGGCACCCCGGACCTGCTGTCCTGCTGACTGTTCTTTAACTCATATTTTGTTCTCTCTCTTTTTTAAAGACTTTTTTGGTTTGTTTTTTAGAGAGAGAGAGCACACAAGTCGGGGAAGGGGCAGAGGGAGAGGGAGAGTACCTCAAACAGACTTCTTGCTGAGCGCAGAGCCCGACGTGGGGCTCAATCCCATGACCCCAAGATCTGAACGTGGGCCGAAATCGAGAGTCGGACGCTTAACGGACCGAGCCATGGAGGCCCCCCCTTGCTATCTTTTTAAAGCTAAATTGAAGTGTCTGAGCTCGATGCAACGTGGTGGGGTGAAGAGAGTACGGGGTTGGAAGTCAAGACTGGGTTCTGGCCCCAGATCTGTTACCATCAGGGTGTGTGACCTTCGTCAACTATTTGTGCTTTAATGTCCTTCCCTATAAAAGGGTTGTAAATCCTTCAAGAGGCCTGGGAATAAACTCCCACATAGGAAGACCTTTTAGTGACTTCCAGCTCTAAATACATCCCTTAACTTATAGCCCAGAGTCACTGAGGAATTGGGTGTTTGACCCAAGTGAAACTTGCAGCTAACTGACCCATCTTTTTAAACACTGACATCTTCAGTAAATTAAAATTAAACACCAACGTTTTACCTTTTGCTAAAAATCTTTCCCAAAGACGTTACTTCCCTCTCTTCTTAAACAGGTATCAAGAAACACGGGTAAACATTTCTTGATAACCTGGATAAGTAATGAACACGATCTATCACATTGGACTGTGATAAGGTGTGGCCCTGAGGGATTTACTGAGGTGGGCTTTACTGAAGGTTCTGGAACCCTCTGCTCCCAAACCATTTCTGCCCTCTTTCTCTGCTATCAATGGTCCCATCGCTCTGTTGTCAGATCTCCCAGTCTGGTGGCCATGTTTTTAACATAACTGGCCTGCCTCGACGCAGCTCTGGTGGCTAGGAAATCACATGACATAACTTGGGGACACCTATGAGACACTGAGAGATCTCTGGGGGTAGACCAACAGGCTTCTGGACCACGGTTGAATATCCTCCAGGAGGAGGGTGTAGTGGATTTCCAGATGCTAAGCCCAGAAGCAGTTCCTGGGGTTCAGGTCCCTGCTTCTGCTTTCTTCAGTCCCTTATGTGTAAGTTCCACATGGAGAGGACATCCCACCCACTAGACACAAGTTTGCCCACCTCTCCAGGGAGGGGTGGGAGGTCAGCATCAAGCTTGGGACAGTGCCCTTGACTTCACCATCCTGACTTAGGGCCTGGATTCCTCAAACCATACCACTCCCCTAGCAACAGTTTGGGAAGGTCAGAACTCATCTCTTATTATATGGGAGCTTATCCCCAGGCCTCTTGAAGGACTTACAGTGGCTTGAGGATTCTTTCTCTTCTTTTGTTTCCGGGGGTTTAAGGCCATCTTGTGTCGAGCTGCTGAGACTCATGGGCAGGTGAGTGCGGCTGGGAGAGGCAATCATGGCATATGTGCTCATGCACTGTGAGCGGGTGGGTCCTGGTGAGGGCTCAAAGGAGCTCTGGAGAGAGGGGGAGAAAAGGAATGGGTCAACTCCCTATGCTACCGCTGGTCCCGAAAGCTGGGAACTTCTCTGGCTGAAGGGCTCCTACAGAAGAAATCCCTGGGGCGCCCGGGTGGCTCAGTCGGTGAAGCGGCTGCCTTCGGTGCAAGTTATGATCCCAGGGTCCTGGCATGGAGCCCTGCACCAGGCTCCTTGCTCGGCTGGGGGCCTGCTTCTCCCTCTGCCTGCTGCTCCTCCTGCTTGTGTACACTCGCTCTCTCTGACAAACACATAAATAAAAAGTTGAAAAAAATTAAATAAAGAAGAAATCCTTCATGAACTACTGTCCCTTGTCCTCCAGCAATATTGACCCTTCTAGTTCATGGGCTCCTTAGAGGCAAAGTGCACACTTCTGTTGGGTTCCTTATAGGTGAAAAATGAGAAAGAGGAAATCCAGGTTGCTCCCCTGCTTAGAAAGGACTCGGGGGCTCCCCTTTGCCCTCAGGACAGGAAATCAACCATTTAATGGAGTTTATAAAGGCAAAGGATTTGCATTTTCTCTTGTCCCCTATGCCCTTCTGATTAACTGGAGGGTCCTGCTGGGGTGAGAGGCACAGTGTGGGTCAGGAAAATCCATCAGGGCTGTGGGGTTTCTCCATAAGAGGTCTGAGTGGAGGGGAGAAAATCAGGCCGGAAGAGGGCTTGTGCGTAATCATCTGCATGTGCATGTAACAAGCACTGGGTGTGATAGGCAACTGATGAATTATTGAACACTACATCCAAAAGTAATGATGTACTATATGTTGGCTAATGGAATTTTTTTAAAGAGCTACCTTTATTTCTGGTTACTCTTGAAGCACGCCAGGCCGACGGGAGGACCCTGAGGAGTGTGTGCCCCCATCTCCAAGGAGGTGGGGAGGAAGCCCGTCACCTTGTCCTCATTATGGCTGGCCTCCACCTTTCCAAACTGTGTGGTCCCAGGGCTCCCAGTTCAGTTCCTCTGTAGGAGCTTCAAACTGGTCTCCTCTGGGTATCTTGACATAGCACTCTCTACACCTCCAAGACACACCCCAGAACACATCCCACTCGTGAGCAGCTCCCAATATTGGTGTCAGGAGAGCCTCCTCAAAGACCAAGTGATAAATCATCTCTCTCCTGGACAGCAATGGCGAAGGATGTAGATTAGCATGTGGACACAATCTCCATCTCTGTTTACTTACTAGCTCATTCTAGCTTTCCACAACACCAACGGGTCACCTGTGGCATTTGCAGCTTTGAACTCTCTCCTCAATTCCCCACCACTGTCGGGTGATAACCTCAGCTACTATCTTGGTTCCAACTGTGGTTCTTTTTTTTTTAATTTACTTTTATTGGACAGAGAGAGAGAGAGAGAGACCACAAGTAGGCAGAGAGGCAGGCAGAGAGAGAGGGGGAAGCAGGCTCCCCGCTGAGCAGAGAGCCCGATGCGGGGCTCGATCCCAGGACCCTGAGATCATGACCTGGGCCGAAGGCAGAGGCTTAACCCACTGAGCCACCCAGGAGCCCCCCAACTGTGGTTCTTTTATGGCCTGGGATTCCAAAGCCTGAGGCACAACATGGTGCTAATGGGGCCAGTGAGAGATCCAGGTCCCTTCTCTGTTTGGGATTCTAGGGAAAGGGGAAGGAATGCTAGTTATTTTGGGTGGGATGAATCATGCAAAATTAGGAGTGGCCCCCAGGCCTGTTCTAACTTCTTCATGCAACTCTCATCCGTGAATTTAGAGAATACTTCTTCTGGGCACTGTATATTTGTTTGTGTTATCTGGAGGAATTGTTCATTGAATACTTAGTGTACAGAGTAAGGTCTCTTGTTTTGTGGTTCCGAAAGGAGCTCATGCTTCGGGGCAGGAGGGTCGCACAGTTCTGGTATTTGGGGACTGGACGACAACGTTATACTCCTACTAACCTCCCATGATCTGTCTCCCTGTTGTCTCTGTGCCTGTGTCTCCTGTGACTTTCTGTTGCAGACACACTGCTGGTTTGCTGTGCCTCAAACATGGCATGCGTGCCCTTCCCTCGGGGCATCCTCACTTGCTGTTCCTTCTGCCAGGCATGCTCTTCCCTCCTTGTTCATGCTGCTTCCTCTCTCACTTCCTTCAGGTCTCCATACACAAGCCATCTTCTTCTTCTTGCTGATCCCTTCCCTGGCTAACCCAGTCAAAACTTTATCCTTTCACCCTGACAAATCTTCCTTCAGCACTTTGATCACTAATATACTGTGTATTTTGCTTATTTTTCTTGTTTATTGTCCATATCCCCCATGACAACTATAAACTCCATGAAGAAGGGCTTCCATTTGTTTTATTTACTACAGGATCCCTAACACCTAGAAACGTGCTGGTACATAGTAGTTGCTCAATAAATGTTTGCAGAACCAGTGAATTGATTATGTTAAAAGCTTCCACCAGATGTTGCCTGTCTGAGAAATTGCCAGAGAAATCTCTTCGGTTCTCTTGTTATCCTTTTACTCTTCCTGAAACCTCCCTAGCTCCACCCAAAGGTAAATGGAAAGAGTCAAAGAGGTCTGTGGCTCCAGAAACCCTAAAGGGACCCCGGAGCAACTGGCTTTCCATGAAGATGAACTTATGATGCCTAGACAGTAAGCAAAGATACACTGAATTTAAAAATCTTTTCACTTTGGTTGGCAACCTAAACCTTGTCGGGTAAACACTATAGACAAAAGCACTGTTTAGGGAAACTCACTTTATAGCAAAACAAAGAAATCAGGCTCAGCAAACTTCTGGCCAATGGTAGACTGAGTGTGTGCAAGACAGAGCTTAGCTGTTCGCAGCCACAGCCTATGCCAAGCGTCCGTCAAACTTAAAAATAGCCACTAGTCTCTATGTGCTTGAATGACTCTCGTTAAGGAATCTCTGGGTATTAGCTCTAAACACAGACCCACAACTATCTTTGAAACGGGGCTAAAATCAAGAGAGCAAAGCCATCAAGCATTCTTCCCACTGGACTATGGCACCCCAGCTCAGGCACAGGATTCGAAACAGCCCTAAGAGGATCTCTATTGTTGAGGTCAGAGTATGTTGTATGGGTAATAGAGTATGTGTATATTTTACAATTTCCCTGAAACTCAGAAGTGAATCAAATAAGCAGTTCATTAAATAAATGATTCAAATAAACTGTCTGGAACTCTGGACAGTGGTTCTGAAAGTATGGTCTGGGATTCCCCTAACAAGCAGCATCAGAATCATCTGGAGAGAGTGTTGAAAAAAAATGTGTTTTAAAGGACACATAGAGACCTGATGAATAAGCCTGTCAGGGGAGGGGCCTGACGGTGGCTCCGTGGGCCTCTCCAAGTGAGTCTTTTGGGTTGTGACTCACTCCTCACTCTCTGGTGTGATGAGAAAGGCTCTCATTTTCAAACAGAAGCACAGCAAAATCCTAAATAACCCCACCAGTTGCCTCAGAACAGGAACCATCCATATCTGGATTCCCTCTGGGAAGTGGGGCCCTTTCCTGAGGCCCTACCTTTTCCTTCAGCCATATTGGTTAAGAGAAACCTAGAAGAGTCACCACAGGAGCCAACCAGAGGATTTTATGAGCTACCCAGGAAAAGCAAGCCTAATCCCTTCTTGGCAGGTTTCTGCAAGAAAGTCAAGTGAAGGAAATGGGACTCCTTTCTCTACTTTTCCTTCCCCTCATGCAACCTCTGGCCTCCCTCCCTGTACTCTGAGAGCTAACACACCCACTCTCTACCCGGTGCGCATTTTATTAAGGAAGGACAAGATGTTTTCATTCTTTCTCCTCGGTTTTAGAGGGGAGTTAGCGCAGACAGCTTCGGACTAACAGCTGGAGTTAAATGAGCTCCTTTTGCCTCAACATCCAGGAGAGGTGCTAGGCCTGGCCCCTACTAACCCAGAATCTTCCTGGGGAAGGAGGCTGGGTCAGGCCTTGGGCCAGAGGAAGGGATCCTTCAGCATTGGTTGGTAGTGGTGCCAGATACCCCTTTGTATTAGTTCAGATAAGGGCTGCTCTTCGGAAAATTAAAACACATTTCAGTTCCCCCTTTTCCCTTCTGTCAAATTTCTAGACCTGGTGCAAAATAGTTCAGTCAATAATCCACCCTTTTGATGGTTTCTTTATCTGTTGTATAATGCTAGGGTCTCCCCCTTTTCTTTTAACTGTTGATAAGAAACACTTGAAGGAGGCTAGAGAGTACTTTGGCTGATTCTCAGAACAAAGGAGAGCCCCCACAGTTACATCTTATATAAGGGCGTGAACTGCTGGCTATTTAGGCCCAGATTTCATCATCCTTTGGGCCCCCAAAACTGTCATCCTGGGGAAAAGCTCCCTCTGAGACTGCCAGGGGGGTTTTGATACTGGGACGTTGGAGAGCTATGTTCCGTGTGAGTCATTCAGCCAAAGGCTGGAAAGGCAAGTATCCATTGAAAGCTCTCCAGAAGGAGCGGCAGCTCTTGGTGGAAACAGTGGTTCTCAGTGGGAATCTTCTCTACCAAGACTACTGACACAGGGTATGAGACCCGATATTGGCCATTGGGATTTTCATTTCCCAGGTGTGTCATGGGGCTTCTGTGCCCATTCCTGAGAATTCCTGTGCAACTGTTGCTTCATTCAGAATCTCTGTTTCATAAAACCTGTTGTGGTCATGATTTTTGCCAACTAGAAAGTTCTGGGAGGTGGACTTCCACATATTCCCTGCAGGCCCCGTTCTCTGCCTGTTTCAGTTTCTTAACTAGCATGGAGAAGGAAGAACATGAACTTTGGAAATGAATAGGCCTGAATTTGAGGTCTTAGTCATGCCATTTATTAGCCCTTTGACCTGGGACAAGTTACCTGACCTCTTTGAGCCTCAGTTTCTATGTCTCTACAACATATTTCTATGTCTCTGAGAGGGATGATAATAATTCAGTGTGCTGTTGGAAGGATGGAATTCAACAATCCAAGGGAACTGCCTTTCACAGAAGAAAGTCTCAGTAAGTGTGAGCGGCTATTGCTGTCGTGGG